TCAACCCCCCCCTCCCCCCCACCCACCCATACCACCCTCACATCATCAACGACAACCCGCCCGTCAGGTCGCGAATCATGCGGCAGGGGGGCAGCTGGACAGCCGCCAATAGTCGGATGACCACTGATGCATCAGCGTCGGCGTTCATCATGAGCCTCATCATGGAGCCTCCACTGGCCAATTTGGTCGCAACTCCTCTCGTTGAGGTTGACCGGTACACATGACACACCACACTCAGACACACAGATCCATGCGAACAGGTATCTGCTCTTTGTGTGGTTCTCTAGGCATGCTCATGGCGGTGTGCTGGACGGCCTCCTGAACCACTCGCCCCACCAGCCGCCCAACGGATGCACAGCGGTCATGGCGAGTGACCATAGGCGCGACGGCATGGATCCCCCTAGTGAGTTGCGGGATCTGCTGCTGACGTCGTTCGGCATGCTATTCGTCGCATATGTCGCTCTTGACAGCTCTGCCGACACGAACACAGGCAAGAAAGCGATAAGAGGCCCTCTGTGCTGATTGAGCCATCCTTCCGGCGTGTGCTGTCCGCTGCCTGCAGTGAGTGTTATTGTCTTCACCACTGAGCCACCTGTGGGTGGTGCATCTGATGCCTTCAAGGACCGCCGGCGCACTACCGCCCCTCTGGTGCGCGGCCTGCTGGGCAACGCCATCGCAGACATGGCGCTCAACCGAGGGGAAGTGGAGGAAGACGACGAGGGTGAGTGAGCAGCCGGCTTCCTCTGTCTCTGTGTGTCGGATGAATCCGTATGTGTGTGTGTGTGTGTGTCGTGTACTGTGCAGAGGACGGCGCGGACGATGGTGGTGACGACAACAGCGACAGCGATGAGGGTGAGAGGTGGGGATGTGTGTGGTTCGATGGGCTCACCTGTATGTCTGCGATGTGTGTGTATCTACGCAGATATGGATAGCAATGGCGATAGCGATGGCCAGCAAGAGCAGCCGGAGGAGGACGATGAGGGTGAGCCAGATCAGCATGGCACTCACGCAATCACTGTGTGCCTTATGGATGGATGGACATGGATGTGTCAGATGAGGGTGTGGAGGAGGGGGAGGCCAAGAGAAGGAGGACCACAGAGTGATCGAGGGGGACACACGCGCCGTCGTGTGGGTGGTGCACTGATTGAGGATGGACAGGAGGACAACCGTAGACGTGTGCACAGACAGCGAGCGGCCGCCTCTGATGCATCCATGCAGTTGACAGATGCAGACCTTTGCATTGATTTGTCCATGTGTGTGACGAACCCTCTTTTGTGTGTGCATATGAACGGGTGCTTGGCGGTGGGTGGAACGGCTCTCCGTTTTGGTTGTCTGTGTCCACATCAGATCGGTGTGAATGACTGGGTGGACGCGTCAATCATCAATCACGTGTGTATGTATATTGCCTGTCGGCAATGAAGTGTCCGTCTCTCCTGACTAAACCACTCACACTCACACACATCGTCTCTTCTGCAGAGGTCACCGACATACTCACCCGACCGATCGATATCGATCGCATTGACTGCAGAGCGGTCATATACAAATACGTATGTATATATGTGTGTGTGTGTGTGTGCAGACAGACACATCGGTATATATGGGGAGAAAGCCTCAACCAGATATGGACTCGGACACACACACCACAAACCGCACACACATCACCGCAGAAAGAAAGAGGGCACTCACACCTGTGTATGGCTCTGTGCGCGCGTGTCTGGGCGGGGTGGGTGGCTGGGTGGCTAACCTTTGCCTCCGAGAAATCCCTGCCAGTCGAACTTGCTCGACCCCAACCGAGCAGCTGACAAGAACACACACACACACACACACACGTGTGTGTTTGCGTATACACGTCGACTGGCTGACCTTTTGCGTCTGTTTGGTTGACTTGCGTGGCGTTGACACAGTCGCCGTCGACACACACGGCGTCGGGCGGACAGCTGACCCACCGGCACTTAAAGTTGACAGCCTGCATTGCATTGGATTGGATTGCATTCACACACACATCCCTCTGCTGCTGTGTGTGTGGCTGTGTGTGTGTGTTGGTTGGGGGAATGGAATAAGCAGGATTGTGTTGGTGGACGCACGTCGTCGGGTGTGAGTGGCTGTGCCCTGCAGTTGCCGAAGACGCAATGTGGCCGGTCCTTGGGGCATGTGACGAACTTGCAGTACATCTCGTTGTTGTTCACGAAGGCGCCCTGCCAGCCACTGCTGTCTGCACACACACACACAGAGAGAGAGAGAGAGAGAGATGCACACCACGATCGCATCTCATGCTGTCTGTCCATCTCTGTGTGTCTGCCCCCTTTCGCACTTGTGTCCATCCAGTCGGTGAAGGACTGCCAGTCGAAGTACTGCCCGCCCTGCCTCTGCACATTGGCCGCCGGCAAGGTCGTCTCGTCCATCTTGCTCACCTTGCCCCCAGACGGCGTCCGGCCAGGCACAAAGTGCTGCCAATCCCCACCAGACACCCCCAGCAGATTCGTCGGCTGCACACTTGCTGAACAAAACAATGCCATCCATTAGCACATTATTTTTGGTCGCCCGTGGATCAGCGGCATACTTGCTCCAGTCGTAGAAAGACCGCCCCTGCTGCTGCCCACCCATCTCCCCCCACCACTGGCAGCCGGTCACGTCCCACCGCTGCCCCCACCCATGTATTTCTTCCAGTCGAACGACTCAGTGGTGCCGAACGCGTCACGTTCCTCCGCACGGACGAGGGTCTCTGATTCTGGCGGCCATCCGTCTGCGTGGCGGGTGGCCTTGGCGGCTTTCCGATAGTTGGGGGGGACGAACTGATGGATAAAGGAATGAAGGAATGATTGACCCGTGTGTGTGTGTGGTTGGTGGGGTGGGGTGGGGGGGCCAGAGGGGGCGGGTAAGTGGTACCTTTTGCCAGGCGGGTAAGTTGATGGGGATGTTCCGCTTCTGGAACTTCTTGTAATCCCCGTGTTTCTTGCCGCTGTCCTCGACCAGCACCACACACACACACACACGCACACACGCATGACGACACACATCCATCTACCCATCCACGTGCAGCATACCGCCTCTTCCTTCTTAAATTCGTGTGCAGGCGCCTTGGTGGTAGTGGTAGTGGTGGTGGTGGTTGTTGTGGTTGTGGTTGTGCTGGCCTGGCTCTTCTTGTGGTGTGAAGCAGCAGCAGGGGGCGATGGTGGCGGTGATGGTGATGGTGCTGCTGGTGGGGGTATGGGCACGTGCTCCGGCACAAACGGCAGAGGGGCGGGCGGGGGCGGGACCTTGCCAGCTTCCTTCTCACGTTCTTTCTCTCCCCTTCCCTCTTTCTCCTTCTGTGGCTTGCCCGTCGGCCTTGCCGCTGCCGCTGCCGCCTCCGCTTTCTTGTGTGTGGTGGGCACCTCTGTCTTTGGCTGTGGGTGGTGCGATGACTGGCAAGGTGACGGAGGGGGGCATTGTGGGCATGGTGTGGGAGGGGGTGGGAGTGGGGCTTCCTTGGCGGCGGCTTCCTTCGCTTCGCTTTGGTTTGTTGCTGTGAGTGCTGAGCCTGGCTGGTGCGTGAGGCCTCCTCCTTCTTCTCCAGCTTGAAGGTATCCTCAGCCTGACAACCACACACACACACGCACGTACACATACACATACACATGGATGGGCCACAAGCACCAAGGTGTTACACCTTGGTTACATACCCGTTTCCGGTCAGGCGACTTCATCGGTTGCTGCCAGGCTGTGGCTGGGTGTGGGTGTGGGTGCCAGTGCGTGTGGCGGCCAGCTGCTGCTGCTGCTGTTTGGGCGATGGTGCTGATCCAGCGACACAGAGAGAGCAGTTGCACGTCAGGTGTGTGTAGGTGCGTTGGGGGGGTGGGAGGGGGGAATGGTGTGGGTCGCTTACTTGTGGGGGCATACGAGCGTTTGGCAGCCTTGGCGTAGCCCTTGGGCAGAAACTTCTCCCACCCATAGCTACACACACACACACAGAGAGAGAGAGAGAGACACAGACACACACACAGACACAGACACAGACACAGAGAGGCAGTCACAATCACGTGTCGATACATACAGTTTGCCTACCTACCTAGGCTGCTGCTTTGTCTTCTTTCCTTGTCGTCCTTCTCGTCCTCCTCCTTTGCTTTGCTCTTCTTGCTCCTTTTGTCTGTGTCGGCGGTGTCGGTATCGGCCCTATGAGATGGGTGCACGGGATCGTAGTGCTCGGAAGGAGGGGAACTCGCCGCTGTCTGCACCGCACCCAGCCACACACGCAGGTACGCGCAGCGCAACAGACGTGTGAATGGCATGGCCACCAACCATTGGAGAAGGAGGGCGTCTTGGTGTCGTTGATTTCGTTGACTGTCTTGAGCTCGTCTGCCACCTTCTTGGGCGGGATCACAAATTGGCGGTCAGCTTTGTCGGACGATGACTTCAGAGCGCCTGAAGCGTGTGCACATCCAATGGTGTCTGTGAGTATAGCGGCTGCTCTTGGTGCTGCTGCTGTTCCTTGGTGTAGATGAAGAACTTCTGCGTGTAGGCGGTGCCTTTGTAGGTGGTCATCAGCGCGTCAACCACCTCATCACACACACAAGCACACACACACAGAGAGAGATGAGTGTGCGCATGGGCACACCAACACGCGCACCGCCACACGAGTGCGTCCCCATGGTACCTTACCTACAGCTGGTCGTATCCTGCGTCTGTGCAGGTCCCTCGCCCGAAGAGGACGATCAGACTCTCGGGCAAACAGGTTTCCTGCGCACACACGCAATTGATGTGTGTGTGCAGACAGACAGACTGACACTACATCAATGCCCTCAAACACTGATGCCCACTCATCCGCCCAAGGGACCATTAAGTGGCCATGAGGGTTCTCAGCCCGCCCCGTGAACAGAGGCCCACTGACCCGCCGAAGAGACCGCGAAGAGCTCATGAATTGGCCCAATGGACGGCTGCTCGATCCCTCCTGCTCCACTTGCTCGAGTGCCGGCAGTTGCCACCCCCTCTGGGCGAGTTCCTGGTGGTCAGCAGTGAGGCCGACGACACGCGTGAGCGCATGCAGCGTCGGGGGAGGGCTGGGAAGAGACGGAAGGGGCGGTTCCTCGCGTGTAACGGTCCTCATGTCCCTGTTGGCCAGGTCGATTCCTCCGAAGCTGATGTTGCGCAGCGTCCCTCCTGGCATGCCGCCTGCCTGTCGCCCGGCAGCGTGTCCCTCTACCATGGCTACGAAGACGTCCAGACACCATGCACACCACGACAGGCCGCTGGGGTAGCAAAGGGTGATGGACGTGAGAGCCGCGTGAGAAGCGCCCCAAGCTGACTGACGAGAGTGACGGGGACTCGCTGCCACACCGACCGCTCCTCCTGGGTGCCGCAGCTGATGGTGAGGTGCGTGTGTTCCGGCGCGGCATGCTGGAAGATGTCCTTGGACAGCTGCACCAGCAAGTAGAGGGGCAGGAAGGCCACAATACTAACGAGGAGGCCAGGCTGGGAAAACAAAAAGAAATGCCATCTATCTATGCCTTTGTGGCTGTCCCTCTTTGGTGTGGTGTGGTGCTCTTGCCTCGTCAGTGATCTGGTGGATCAGGTTCCTCTCCCTCTCTGCCCGTCGCTGCCGCTCCTCATCAGAACTGGCGGCAGCAGCAGCCGCGGCAGCTGGAGCAGCTGGGCGAGCCCTCTTGGCCTGCATGCAAACATACATACATCCATCCATCCACGGCACACACAGACAGGTTGAAGGGGTGGCAGACACTCCAAGATCCTTAACGCCCGGTGTGCTCACCTTCCTTCCATCCATTACGTCCCACAAGCTACTGGGCCTGAAAGATCCATCCCTGAGTATTCATCAGCCCCATTCATTGTACAAAGCTGTTTTCAGGCGGGCCGCCTAGGGTGCGCCATGAAACCGCTGGGGAGATGAGGAAAACTGAAGGGAAGAGGAAAAAGGAGGATTGTGCGATGCAGGAGGCTTGTCTTGGAAGTGTGTGAGCTTGGGGTGGATCGTGGCTGTTTGTTTCGCGTTTTCTCTCGATGGAGGGTTCGGTGACGTATCTGGCGTTCAACCAGGACTGCACGTGTCTCGCGGTGGGCACCCGTGGCGGCTTCTCCATCTATGGGTGTGATCCCTTCCAGCTGCTGTACCGCGAGGAGGGCAGCTCCATCAGCGTCGTCGAGATGCTCTACTGCACCAGCCTCGTGGCCGTCGTGGGCTCGGGCGACACTCCCAGCAGCTCCTGCCGCCAGCTGACCCTCTACAACACCAAGGAGCGGAAGGCCATCATGCGCATGAACTTCAGCACCATGATCACGGCGGTCAGGATGAACCAGAAGCGGCTGGTGGTGCTGCTCAGCCAGAAGATACACTTCTTCGACCTCAAGAGCATGCATGCCCTCCACTGCATCGAGCGAATCGCACACACGAGCGTCGACCCGGCGCTTTGTGCGCTGTCTTCATCGCTCGACAGAGGTGAGATGATGAGACCACAGACATAGGCAGGTCATTAGCATATCCACGACGGCCTTGATGCGACATTTGTGTATGTGTGGCTGGATCAGGTGTGTTGGCGACCCCCACTGTGTCGGACCCACCTGCAGGCCTGATATCGCTGCTCGACACCCACACACTGAAGCCCCTCGGGAACACTCTGGCGCACCACTCCCCTCTCAAGGCCATCTGCCTCAACCAGAGCGGCACGCTGCTCGCATCGGCCTCGTCTAAGGTCGGTGGGCGAGCCCGATACATGGAGGAAGGGATATGAGTGCACGAGTGGATGTTCCCGGCTTGTCTTTTGTTTATAGGGCACCGTTATTCGTGTGTTCTCTGTCCCAAGTTTGGATCGCATAGCAACTTTCAGAAGGTCAGCCAAAAGAGAGAGAGATAATCGTCGCCTGCATGACGGATGGATCTGCTTGTCTCGCTTGCTTTGCAGGGGCACAGTTGAGTGTTCCATCTACAGCCTGTCGTTTTCCCGCGACAACCTCTTCCTCACGGCCACGGGCTCATCCGGCACCATACACATCTTCAAGGCGCCAGACGAGGCCCTTCCCCCGACACCCAACGGCCGCGACCACACCTCCACACGGCCACCGATGCACCGCACAAGCGGCGGCTGGACCGACACCAGCAGCGGTGGCCCGACCAGCTACGCCCGGCCGAATGGAGTGCATAACGGTGCTGCGGGGAGCAGCAGCAGCAGTAGGGCCAGTGACGATGCCAGTGGCGGTCCGTTTTTCCGCCCGTCCCCCTCCCCGCCCCCCATCTCATCCGCCCACCGGCACGACCGCACCGACCCCTCCACGTCTCCCCTGCTGTCGCTGGCATCGCAGGCGACGGCCGCATCCATGGCAAGCGTCGCATCCATGGCCAGCGGGGTGGCCAACGCCGCCTCGACGACCTTCTCGACCACCCTGATGAACTATTTGCCGGCCAGCTGTAGGGATCTCTTCGATGCGACGCGCTGCTTCGCGTGGACCAAACTGAAGACGCCACCTGAGTGAGCTAGTGGGGTTGGAAGTCGGGGAGAGAGAGGGAGAGAGAACACCGGACATCATTCTCCTCTTTGTCTGTGTCTGTGTGTGCCACCTTCCCTGATTTGTCTGTCAGTTTGCCGTCGATCGCTACGGTGAATTACAAGGCGGCCACGGGCATGTATGAGCTGGTGGTGGCGTGCATGTCGGGATGCGCCTACGTCTACGAGTGGAGTGCTGACACAGGCGGAGAATGCAGGTAGGGGAGAAACCGAACCTGTCGAATCGCACCGCACACCACGGGGCGGCACTCATCCACGATAAGCTGCCCTGCCTGTGGTTATCGTTGACCTGGTGCTGCCTGCTGTGCTGTTCAGGTTGCGTGCTGAGCATTTCCTGCGTTCCTCCCTGCAATCGTACGACCTGTTCAACTCCTACCGGGCAGCCAACCACTCCTCGTCGCTCCCCTGCAGCCCCCCCGAGCACCCCACACACACAGCAGAAGATGAGCCACCTTCGGCTGCGCACCAGCCCCCTTCATCGCCACCACAGTGCCCCCCATCATCTGCAGTGCCACAGCAAGAGCAGCACCAGCAGCAGCATGCCCCGCCACCAGCGGGTGACAGGAGCGACAGCACGAGCACGAGCGACCACTCGAGCACCGATGCCGATCTGATGGCTGCTGGGGCGGCGGCGGAGGGGATCCAGGGGATGCAGGGCAAGGGGGGTGTAACATAGATATCAAACGACGTGTGTGGGGGGG